AAAGCTGACATTTCTCCACAGGATGTTTATATTTGAAAAATAACTGGAAAAAAACCTAAATATTTGTATCTAAATTGATACTGAAAGTATTGAAAAAAAATTTATATGGTAGTCTATTATTTTTATGTATGAGTTCACCCGTGAGGACCAAGCTTTAGTTCACAACATCCTCTACTTGGGATATATACACAAAAATTAGTTTTTGTTGTTGTTTCTCCCTATAGATGTTTTTAGAATTTAGTTATTTTTTATTTACCTACTAAATTATTCCTTGCTGAGTTTATGAGCTATGGGTGATGACCTGTGGGTGGCTTGTTTGCCAAAACTCTGAATTACACTGTACCTTTACTCAAGAGAAATGACAATACACATCCTTTACGTGAAATCAATGTTCATGGTGGCCTTAGGCATAACTGCTCAAAACTGGAAACAATCCAAATGTCCATCATCAGGTGAATAGATATACCAATAGTAGTATATTTATGTAATGGATTACTAGTAGTAATAAAAGAACCAAACTTCTATCACATGCAGCAAATGGATGAATCTAAAAGTTACTGTAAGTGAAAAAAAGGCAGATACAAGAGTGCATTTTGTATTTATAGTTCTATTTATGTGAGAGTTAAAACCAACCTAAGGTGTTAGAAATCACCATAGAGCTTGCCTGGGTAGGAGCAGGAGGACAATTGGCGGGGAAGGGCCTCAGAGAGATTTCTGCTGTGATGGAAATGTTCTGTTTTGATGGACTTGGTTGTATGGGTAAAAACATGTTGGAACTAATTGAATTACACACCTAAAATACATGCACTTACTGTTTGTAAATTATACCTCAGTAAAAAACATAAAAATAATGTGATTCCTTAAAAAAATTTAATTCTTCTCTTCAGTGTGATTTAAGGGGCTATTGCTGCTACGAACCAAGAACCCACAGCTGCAATAATGGGGAAAAAGTTGTTCTTGAGAAATAAGAATTTGTTTACTGAAATTTAGAAAAAGAGTGAGACAAGCTAAAAAACTACATTCACGACCAAGAAAAAAAATCACTAATCTGGAAAATAAAGATGAAGAAACAGAGCAAACAGACTAACATGAGAAGAAATTTAGAAGATACTGAAATTCAGGGGCGCCTGGGTGGCTCAGTTGGTTAAGCGTCTGACTTTTGATTTTGGCTCAGGTCATGATCTCAGGGTCGTGAGATGGAGCCCTGCATCAGGGTCCGCACTGGGGGTGGAGCCTGCTTAAGATTCTCTCTCTTTCTCTTTCCCTCTGCCCTTCCCTTTCCCTCCTCCCCCATCTCTAAAAAAAATTAAAAAAAAGAAGATACCGAAATTCAATTTAAGCCTGGCAACAACCATCTAATATGTGCTTGTGGAGGCGGGTGGGGCACAGAAAATAGGGGAAAAAAAATGACTTAAGACATAACAGAAGACATTGTCCAGAAACTAGAGGGGAAAAAAACAGTTCTCAGGTGGAAAGAACTTGTCGAGCAGAGACCAAAATGAATGAAATAAACGGCAGATCCTCATGAAAGTTCAGAACTCCAGGAAAAGATTCGAAATAAATTAAAAATTCAAAAATTCAAAAATCGGCAGGGTAAACAAAAAAAAAAAACCTCATTTATGAAGGAATGAGATTTAGGCAACTAAAATAAGAAAAACAAATAATGTTAAGAGTGCAAAAGTCAGTCAATTAGCAATAACAGAAATTCTACCATAAAGGTTTTCCAGGACAGCTAAGGTTTTCTATTAGTAACGGTTAGTCAGGTGACACATGTTCCTATCGGGAACATCAACATGGTATCCAGAGTTTGCTAACCATCTTGTAAGCATAAGGATTAAATCCGCATGCTATGGTGGCAGCATAAAAGTAAAAAGGTAGAAGTTCATGCTAAGACTGGCATTGCGTTGTATTGCACTTGTACCCGCAATGGTCTACCCACCAGCAGTTACTTGTTTTGTGATTAAAACAAACTCCTACTTCTTTAAAGTTCTTTAGATTTTCTTTTCCACAAAACAAACACAGATGTAACTGACATTGTTTTTAACAGATGCTATGATTGTATTCTGCAGTGAATTAGGAATCAATAGCAAGTGCAGCCATTTGATTTTCACTTAAGACACGGAAATAAACTAGATCAACTACTTTGCTTTTTCAGTAGACTAACACCTTGAATGACTAATTCATTTTTGTGGACTGCACATCTTATCTATACAAGAAGTGATTTGTAGAGGTTTGTTATGATGTTAGACTGCATTGTAAGACTTTTGTAAATGCCAAATTCAGTGGCATTTGTGATTTAGAGTCAAGAGTCAACTGCATATAATACGTAAACAGACTATTTAAGTAACTTATTGAAAAATAAACACTTTGGATATTAATAAAATCATAAGATGTCATGTGGACTCTTTTTTAAAGGTTTATTGAGCTATGACATACAATTAACTGCAAATATTTAAAGAGTAAAGTCTACAGTTTGATGTTGTTTTGATAAATATGTAGGCCTGTGAAACCATCACCATAGTCAAGATAATGACCAAAACCAGCACCACAAAAATGTTCTTATATCCCTTTGTTAACCTCTCCTTCCCTCCTCTCCTCATCCATCCCCAGGTCCCCAGGCAATCACAATCTTCTTTCCCTTACTACAGGTTAGTTACGTTTTCCATAATTTTACATAAATTGAATCTTTTTGGTCTGGCTTCTTTCACATGGCATAACCACTTTGGGATCCATCCATGTTGTACATATCAATAGTTCATTGGTTTTTATTGCTGAGTAATATTCTGTTGTATGGATATGCCAGAATTTGTCCATCCATTTATCTGTAAGTAAAAAACTGTTCCTCTTGTGCTAGAAACATTTGTGGCTCAGTCTACTGTGCTAGAAACATTTGGGCTATTGTGCTAGAAACATTTGTGACTCAGTCTTTGTATGAATATATATTATGTATGAGTAGAACAGCTGGGTCTGTGGTAGGTATATGCATAACATTTTAAGAAACTGCCACATTATTTTCCAAAGTGGATGGACCATTTTACATTCCCACCAGCAGTGCAGGAGAGCATCAGCTGTTCTGCACCCTTAGCAGTCTTTTTAATTTTAGTCATTCCATAGGTTATGTGGAAATATCTCACTGTGGCTTTATTTGTATTTCCATAATCACTAGTGATACTGATGAGCACCCTTCATGAGTTTATTTCCCATCCACATCTTTTTGGGTGAAGTATCTATTCAAATCTTTTTCCCATTTTAAAAGATGAGAAAAAAAAAACAATCTTCTACCACTGGAAAGCTCAGGGAATATTCTTGAAAGAGAAAGTTGATTTGTTTTCAGAAGTAAAGGATTTGTGCGCTTAAGTTAAGGGAACTAAAGGTTAAATACTAGCAGGGAGCAGACTGGGGATAATTTTTAATATAAAAAAATTTATATTATTTCTATAAACAATTGGGGTTATATTCTGGGATTAAATGGGAAAGTTAAGTCAGATGATCAAATCTCTCTTTCCTAAAACCTAATACGGTGAACAAAACATAACTTAAAAATAGGAAAAAAGATTCCCAGCAACATTCACATGAGTGGTGACTGGAGAGAGAGATATTCCAGGAATAACATAAATTCTTTTCTATAATCCAACCCCCCTCCCCATCAAAACAGCACTAATGAAGAAAGCGAATGGAGAAAATTTTTAAAAAGACAACCATCATGTCCAAATTATGAGAAAAGACAACCAAAAGTGTGAGTAACCACACCTGGGTTCACTATATGCACATTCAAACAAAGACTCTCCCCAACACCATCTCAACAGGGAGGAGGGAACCTACTGGGATTCACCATTCTGCCTTTTGTTATCTGGGAGGAAGTTAGGAGAGGGAGTATGAGGACAGAAAAATAAAAAAAGAAAAAAGACTACATAACTTCCACCAAACGAGACAAAAGATAACTTAAAGTAGGAGTGCACATAGAAACCTGTGAGAAAATGCTCTGGGCTAAACCATAAATGAAGTCACCTTTCCTAGTTGGAAATAGATAATAAGCTCCATCCTCCTCCTCAGGCTTGCCTGACTGTGCCCTCCTCTGGGTCACCTGGGAGGAGAAGTGGGGATGGGCAAGCAGGGAGATGGGGGAGGGAGGGAGCACTGGATACCTGGGGTTACATGTATGGTCAAAAGAAAGGCGCCTGATCTTCACCTTGCACTGGACAAATAATAGAAACCTGAGGACACCTGCTTCTCCTCCAAGAGATGGACCTATGACTTGATGGAATGAACATTCTTATGAGAATTTTTTTTTTTTAAAAGATTTTATTTATTTGACAGAGAGAGAGATAGCAAGAGCAGGAACACAAGCAGGGGGAGTGGGAGAAGGAGAAGCAGGCCTCCCACCGAGCAGGGAGCCGGATGTGGGACTCGATCCCCAGACCCTGGGATCATGACCTGAGCCGAAGGCAGACGCTTAACGCTGAGCCACCCAGGCGCCCGAGAATTTTTTTAAATAAAAAAAAATGTAAAGGAAATAAATCTGCCCCAGAAAAGGCCTACAGTCATTAGTTCTCTGGGTATTTATCTGTTTTTATAGAGCATGCAGTTATTTGTGGGTTTAACTATGAAACTTGGCTTTATTTACTGCTGAATGTTTTCCTGCAAATTGAGTAAAGGTGGATAGGTATGTTGAGAGCCGTAGCTATCCAGCCATCTTAATTATGGTGCACTGTTCTGAAGTTCTGCCTGATTGTCTTGAAAAAATGACTTTTTTTTTTTTTAAGATTTTATTTATTTGACAGAGAGAGAGACAGCCAGAGAGAGAACACAAGCAGGGAGAGCAGGAGAGGGAGAAGCAGGCTTCCTGCAGAGCAAGAAGCCAGACGCGGGGCTCGATCCCAGGAGCATGGGATCATGACCTGAGCCGAAGGCAGACGCTTAACCATCTGAGCCACCCAGGCACCCTGAAAAAAATGACTTCTTCATTCATCCCTACCCCAGGTTATCCTGCTGTAACTTACCAAGGAACCACTTGTTTTGATAACTCCTGGCAGCTCTTTTTCCTCCTGGGTTCCATCCAACTGAGCAGTATGGTTATCACAGGTATCACCTGGCTAATGAGAGAAATGAAAGTCATTTTTATCCAGGCATATCTGTCCCAACATGACTGTTTATTCAATTATACATTATATAAGACTCTTCAAATGTATAGCCATGTGGTGATAAATGGAGTTAATGACTACCTGTGCAATGGTAATGGCATTCACCAATTCGTCCACAATTAATACTGATCGTGCATTACAGCACAAGTTGTTCTCAAAATCCACTGTTAATTGCCTGCCAAAATCCACTTTTCTTTTCTTCTTTAACTTCTGAATATCACGATCTGCTCCAAAGATGCTATGTCTAAACTAAAAAGACTAAAGTGTGATCATGTGATGGCTATGACCAATGAGATGCAAGTAGACTCCTACTTGCTAGAGCATCCAGGAAGGCTAATGCTTTCTTGATAAAGTGGATAAAATCCGCTGGCTGATGCTGCTGCTTCTTCACATGGACACAGTGTTTGTGATGCCCAGATACTTGATAAGCATTAAATATTAGCCCACAGGCTAAGTGGAGCAGACTGGAAAGATGAAAAAGTTGGTAGATCCATGCTAGGGATATCGGCCACACCAGCCCCAGACTTCTTATTTTATAAGGACAATAAATCCCTAATCATGTAAGTCATGAAGCTTACTGATTAAACAACCTATGCCACTTTAAAATCAGACTTCATAACTTTTTGTAATGATTTATAAATCAGCAAGAGTGGTCAGTTTTTTTCAATCAAGAAACTAGAAATACATTAGATTGACTAACTCATAAACACATAAGACTGAACCCAAAATTTCATTCCCATTCACTGAATATTGTAAAAGCTCTGATTTTCATTATGCAGCAAGTGTGTTTGGAGACTATTCTGATTGTGATAGATGGCACTGTAGGTCTTGTGCATATGCTCTAAGATTTTTAGCAGCATTAATGATATAATGGCAGTCCCCAAAATAAGATGCAATTATTCTATTCCATGACTGAAGCAACATTTTGCCAAATTAAACATACTGGGTATCAATGAAACCATAAACTGCTACATGAGACTTCAGAAACTGTTGTTTTTCATCTTGCTTTTCCATATTTTCTAACTTTCCCCCAATGTGTATGCATTATATTAAGAAAAACAGACATCTGTTTTGAAGTGGAAACAATGCTAAAGAGGCAGTACAAGAAACCAGGTCAGGGCAGAGGACTGAGAGCACACTGCTCACAATCACTCCGAACTTGAGAAAGGTATGTATTGTTGTAAGAACAGCTCCAAATGGCACTGGAAACCAACAAGGTGTCCTAATAACAGATGAGAAATTGTTAGAAATTCCTGGGAAATAAAATGTAAACAATGTATTTCATAATTGTACAGAACTTAGCTTAAGAACAGCATAAAACAATTTTTGCTGGCAAGGAAAGGATAAATCTACAAAAAGCAAACATACAAACAATCAAGTAAGCTCAGTGTGAAAATTACAAAGGGCAGGAAGGGGCCTTAGCTCAATGGCCACAATAATGTATCATAAAGTGTGTCCTCAACCGGAAGGGCCAGACAGACCTCCCAGAGGCTCCCTTTACACCAAACAGCAGGCAGCAGCTACCTATGGATCCAAGAAAAGCACTCTGGCTGAAGTGAACCACCTGCCTTGGGAAGTTGTCCAGGGTTGAGAACAAAACACATCTCAGTATCAGGTAACTCTGGACCTCCATGAAAGTCATGGAAGGGAGAATAAAAGGAAAACATCAGTTTTTGTCTTGCATAGCAAGAAATGAAGCCATTTACCACTCTCCCTTTGGTGTGTGCATGTGTGTGCACACATGTGCATATGAGCGTGGATACTCACCCATATGTACAGTTAAACTAACTTCCATTCACATACCTTACTGACTTACACAGTATCCAAAATCAGCCCCCTCATTCCATAAAGAATCCTTTGGGAAATTATCAGCAATAACACACCGTAAGTCACTAATTGGTTAATCTAATCCATTAATAAATATAAATCAATCACCAAGGACCATCAGACATTGGAGAAAATTAATGTAATGAATAAGTAAGTCACTCATGGCGAAAAATCAACATTCTAAAAAAGTACAGTGATAAACATTCTGGGAAAAAGAATTGAGGGAAGGAAAAAGGCTTAAAATAACTTGATTTCAGAGAGATTTGAGAAGATTTTACAACCATAAATCAGGACTATCACAATAAAGTGGAAGTCAGTGAAAAAGAAGGAGTTCCTGTCAATTAACAGTATGACTACTGAATTAAAAAATTAGCAGAGGCTCAATTATAACCACTCATGGCAAAAATGAGAATTAGGAATCTCCAAAATGATATAGACAAAATCTACTAGCATACAGAACAAATAGGAAAAAAGTAAGGAAATATAACATACAATTTAAGAACTATGTGAGTTTAACACGCAGGCAATGAAAGGAAGAACAGGAAAATGGAAAAATAAAGTAATTAAAGAAATAATGGAAAGAGAATGGCCAGAACTGAAAGAAAAGGAACATTTTTCAGCAACAAAAAGCTAAGTGTTGATGATGATTTTTAAAAAAGATGTCAGGGGCACCTGGGTGGTGCAGTCAGTTGAGCATCCAACTCTTGATTTCTGCTCTGGTCATGATCTCAGGGTCATGAGATTGAGCCCTGCGTGAGGCTCTGGGCTCAGCCCGGAGTCTGCTTAGGTTTCTCTCTCCCTTTGGCAACCCCCCACAACTGCCCTGCCAAACACATGGACATGAGCTCTCTCTCTCAAATAAATCTTTAAAAAAATAAAAATAAAAAATAAATTTAAAAAAAGATGTCATATCCTGATGACAGTTCAGGTCTCCTACACTAAAGATAAATGTAAAAGGCTTCCACAAATATAAAAATGAGAGAAGGAAACAAAGGAATAAGATTTAGAGAGACATCAGACTTCTCAACATTAATACTATATGAAAAAGCAAACATTAATATTTACAAATTTCTGAAAAAAATTAATATAGGGCCTATCACTTTGATACTCAACAATTTAGGATTTATGCTTTTTGGGTATGAAAATTTAGTATCCACAGATACTTATTGCCAGATTTGCTCAAAGGGTAAAAGGTGCAATCTGCTAAGAAGATGTAACATTTTGTAATACATATGATTATGCAAATTAATATTTATACTATTCTCTGTAGTTACTCTGCTATGTTAGCCTTCACCATCTTCCTGGGAGAAAGAACAGTACTCGCTTTCTCATTCTAGAAACTGGTCAGTAGTTCAGGGGTAGGACTGGAACAAAACTTTATGTCCTCTTCCATCTCACTGTAAGATTTCTTCACGTGTTTGGCACCACACTTGCCCCTTTAATTCACCTTTAAAAGGTGATAAGACCTTCAAGGAATTGAAATACGTGAAACAGCGATAAAAGGGAAAAGAAACAAAAGATACCTAGACTAATCATGAGAGTCCATGGCCAGGGTGGCTGTGTTGGGTGTGGTATATAAGACTTCAAATAAAGTTCACTCTTCCGTGCCGCCTTGACATCTGGTAAAAGCGGAAGGACCATAGCGCTCTAACTACAAGCTCCCCTCCTACTCTGCCCCTCATATAAGGTCCCCTAGACAGACAATGCTCCTTATCCAGGGGACCAGACACAATTCCTGCTTATCCTTGAGTAATGGGTTTCAGTTCCTTGTCAGCCGGTGGAATTATTCAAACAAGCCAATCACATCCTCCCATGGGAACCAAGGGGCACCTCACTCTCTTGATACTACACAAAGCCCGCCTCCTACACCCTGATTATTCATTCTGTTCCCAAGTGCACCCCACATGTGGCTCTGTGTGGTGTCTTCCTCCCCCAGGCTGTGAGAACATGTGATAATAAATTGCTGTTGCTCTTGTCTGTCTGTTGCTGAATGTCAAGTCACCCCTGTAACCCTAGGGTGGGAATCCCTCCCTCACCCACAGGATGAAGAGGAGGCGATCAAAATTGTAGACAGAGTCAGCTAGGATAAAAGCTGACAGAAATCCACTATTTGAAAACACTAGTATCTACTCTGCATGTGCCTCCTCTGGCTGGTCTGAAGGAATAAAGGGCAGACAGAGAAGAATCACAACCTGGATCAAGAGTCCTGGTTGGAAGTAAGGTGTGTAAGACTCCCTATGATGCAGGAACAATCTAAAACTTGAGGACACTTCCTGCCAACTCAACAGAAAAAGTAAAGACTTCTAACTAAATGGAATTAATACTCTTATGAGAAAATAATGAAATTAGAAAAAAAAAAACTAGTGACAAAATTTGCAATACAGGATTGCTCACAGCCCCAGGTGACCACACTCCACCTCCAGAACTTGACATACCCCTCAGGCAACAGAAGAGCAGCCAGAACACAAACTAGACACATCCAAATCCTTAAGCAGAATCTGGAAGGAACCAACAGCTGGCCTGTATTGGGACAATTTTTTAAGATCCAAACAGAATGTCCCACATAAAATATGTGTAAGATGAAAATAAGCTGTATAGAAACTAAAGATCATCATCATCGGTATTGATCAGATCAAGGATGGTACAAGGGTTACTCTTAGAACATCTAAAGAATCCCTTTTCTTCTGCCAGGAAGAAAAAAAGTAGAGCTTAAGAGAAGGTAACACATGAGTCTTAACAGAGGAAAGTCTCTCACGGTAAATTTTCTGCTGCCATGAGTCCAAGTGGAGGCAGATGTCAGTAAACCCATATCCTTCCATGTCTCTACTCCGGGTGCATCACTTCAGTAAGAGGACCCAGGCCTTATGCCAAGTGGTATAGATCATGGCATGAGATTCGTCTCACACACACAAAAAACCTTCTACTGAGATCATGTCATTAGCAGTTATGAACTCAGATTAGCACTCTTTGAATCTCTGAACTAAAACAGACAAGGTGGGCTCTAATGAAATGTGTTTACCTCCTGCGCTAGATAGTGCACTTTTCCCCACTTACTGTTATACATATAAGATGCTACAGTGCTGCCTCCCATAAAATATTTACATAGAGAAAAAAACTGAAATGTCAAAGTATTTCTTATATTGAGAATTAAATAAATATTGAAAGATACATGGAGAGTAGCATAAGACTTTCCATTACGTGTTCAGCAGAAAGAACAAAAGTTTAGCTGATGACGTCCCCAACATCTTGACTTCTGGCTGGGCTGGAACTGCAGCTGTGGTTTTGTTGCTGTAAGTGCAGACAAGCCACGTAATTACTTGTGGATTTAACTAGTTAATTATTCATTCCTGAGTTTAAGAGTCTCTGTTTCCTTCTTTCTTACAAGGCAAGTAGGCATTTTGCTCAAGTTTTCCTGACTGCCTTGAAATACTTTTCCTAGCCTCCTTACTCTTAAGTCCCCTTGCTTCATCTTACCAGTTGACCATTTCTGCAAGGAATGGCTGATATCCCTTCTTCATCCAGGGTCACATCCAAAAGAGGAGCTGGGATACAATAAAAATCATCTGGCTATTGAGAAAAATGAAAGTGCATGTTTATTCAAGGCATGTTCTCTGCAGGGTAATTGTGCATTCAATTATCTGTTCTGCACATACGTGTACATTGACACAGACTTGTGGAGAGATCCATAGATCTGACTGCTGTGCACCAATCACTGCCATGTAGCCATTCATCTGCCAATACTGAGAGCCCACTACATTCAGGGCATGGTGACAGACACTGGTCTCTCTGGAGAATACTGTTAACTGTTTACCCCAAACCCAATCACCAGTCTTCCTTAAAAGAATCCTAATTTTTTTTTTCCTCAGGGACTTTTGTGTCCAACTAAAAAAAACGATTTCTTAGGCTCTCTTGCAGCTGATGATCACATACATTTCTGCGCAATGAAAGGTAACTGGAACTCTACAGAGTAAGATTTCTAAGAAACTAAGGTCAGAAAGATAGAGTAAGCTGGTACAAGTTCCAGGAATGGCCAGGAACAGCCACGAACATGAATATAGTGCTAGGGGTGGCTCAGCCAACTTATAAGCAAAAGGATGAAGGCTGCATTTGAATGACAAAATAGAAAGACAGAAGGTAGATGGATCCATGCTGAAGCAAAGGAACACCTATCTTCACCTTCTTCCTAAAGAGAGAGAAAAAAAATCCAAATTTGTATAACTCATGATTTCGTGGATTTTCTGTTACATGCACTGAAATGTGTATATAGGTAATATAATCTTGCTGTTGGTTTTTTTAAATATTTTTTTTATTATGTTATGTGAGTCACCATACAGTACATCATTAGTTTTTGATGTAGTGTTCCATGATTCATTGTTTGTATATAATCACGTTTTTTAAAGATTTTTTTTTTTTTATTTGACAGAGAGAGACAGCAAGAGAGGGAACACAAGCAGGCGGAGCAGCAGAGGGAGAAGCAGGCTTCCCGCTGAGCAGGGAGCCCAATGTGGGACTCGATCCCAGGACCCCAGGATCATGACATGAGCGGAAGGCAGACGCTTAACGACTGAGCCACCCACGCACCCCATAATCATGTTTTTTAAAAGAGGGTACATGAAGGGCTCCTGGGTGGCTCAGTCAGTTGAGCATCCAACTTTTGATTTTGGCTCAGGTCATGATCTCAGGGGCATGAGATCAAGCCCCACGTTGGCTTCTGCACTGGGCTTGGAGTCTGCTTAAGATTCTCTCTCTCTCGGGTTGCTGGAGGAGAGGTTATGGGTCGGGGGATGGGAGGGAGAAGGGATAACTGGGTGAGGGGCATTGAGGAGGGCACTTGATGTAATGAGCACTGGGTATTATATGCAACTGATGTATCACCACATTTTACCTATGATACTAATAAAAAAAAATTCTCTCCCTCTCTCTCTGCCCCTCCCTCCCCTGCTAGTACAAGCACGTGCATTCTCTAATTAATTAATTAATTATTTCAGGGTGCATGACTACATTTATGCAGTTAGTTATGCTGGTCCCATCTTTGACTACTTATTTATCAATTATGAAATTGGAAATAAGACTGACTATTTTTGCTCAATTAAATGTGTTACTGAAAGAAACATTTGATTCACATCTTCTAAATATTAGAAACAAATATATTTGGGCACTGAAATTCTGCTCATGATGAATAATACTGAAGACTTTGTATTATGTATCCAGAGGTTGATTTAGTATTTGTGATTTAGTGTATAATAGCTCTACTAACACAAGGGTTAAATATTCTATTCCTTTATGGCTAGGATTCCACTGAAAATTATATTTATTGGATATTTAACTAAATCATAAAATTTTATTTGGGCCTATAGACGCAGTCATTTTTTACCTTGCTTGTCCATATTTTCTAAGTTTCTAGTAAAGATTATGTACTATTTTTATAATAATAAGGAAAAACAGTTTTTGGAAGAAACAAATAAATACTACTGAAGAATCAGCATAGGAAAATTGGATCAAGATAGCAAAATGCACATACCACTTTCTCCTCCCTCCGCAAATCACTCAAAGTGTCAAAAGAGATACCTTTTTCAAAGAGTAGATTTAGAAATCACTAAACATTTCCATTAACAGAACAGAAATTGTTGGATATTCCTGGAAGATTAAAAGCAAGCAAGAATGGTTTGATAAGGGCAGAGGAAAACCTCAACCTGAAAAAAGATACAAAGAAAAATGTGTAGAAGATAAATGCTGATCTAGAAAAAGCACATATCCAGCACGAGAATAAAAGCAATAATAAGGCATCCCCAATTCAGAAGACAATGGCCAAAGTAACCTAAGAATGTTTTTCCTGAACAAAGAGGCCAGGAAACCATCCCTCCCTCTAACACTGAACAGCAGGCAGCAGCTCAATGAGATTCCAGAATAAAACCCAGCAAGTGTCCTCTTGGTGACAAAATGAGTGCCTGCCTTGGGGTCAGGAGGAGTTTGTCCTGGTGTAGTGGTCCTGGACAGAAAATAAAATCGTGGGGCACCTGGGTGGCTTAGTCGTTAAGCGTCTGCCTTCGGCTCAGGTCATGATCCCAGGGTCCTGAGATCTAGACCCACATCGGGCTCCCTGCTCCGCGGGAAGCCTGGGTCTCCCTCTCCCACCACCCCCCCGACCCACTTGTGTTCCCTCTCTCGCTGTGTCTCTCTGTGTCAACTAAATTTAAAAAATCTTTAAAAAAGAAAAGAAGAGAAAAGAAAAGAAAAGAAAAGAAAAGAAAAGAAAAGAAAAGAAAAGAAAAGAAAAGAAAAAAGAAAAAAGAAAATTGCCCTTCGTTGGAGGCTTCTAAAAGAATATAGACAGAAGTATAAAAAGGGAAGTTAGGTTTGCCTGAAAAGCAAATAAATTACAATTCTTTAGGCTTATCATTACTTTGGAATTGATACCATATTTGTTTGTCTTAAAGTGAAGTGTGACAGCTGACACACTTTACCACTCACACAGGCCCAGACCGCATCCACTATGAGAGTTTTGGCGAGAAACTAAGTCTACATAACTGCAAAGGAAATATACAGTCTTTACCTATATTCATCAATCAATCAATCAACCTAGTCCTCCATTAATAAACAGGAATCAACACCCAAAGATCAAAATGAACTGAACAGTAATGTAATGATGCCAAAAATAAACAGAGGACCCTGAAGAAAATAGTAATTCAAGGAAAAGAAGACCACCTTGGAATTTAAGGTTTAATTTAGTACCTTCAGGAGTGTGAAAAAAGAGCAGATCGCTAAGATACAGAGGAAGTCAGGGGAAAGGAGAGGCTTCAGGAAATTAACAATGTGACTGTTAAATTTCTTAAAATTAGGGCGCCTGGTGGCTCAGTTGGTTAAGCGTCTGCCTTCGGCTCAGATCATGATCCCAGGGTCCTAGGATCGAGTCCTGTATCGGGCTCCCTGCTCAATGGGGAGCCTGCTTCTCCCTCTCCTCCCTGCTCTCATTCTCTCTCTCTCTCAAATAAATAAATAAAATCTTTAAACTTTAAATTTTTTTCTTAAAATTAACGAAAGGCTGAAATATCAATGCCTCCATGACCAAATTATTGTTATAAAAAAAAAAGAAGTTGAAGGGATAGGCAAGAATGCAGAACAAACATGCACACAAATAAAGTTTGGAAAACAAGAGAACATTTAAGAGACACTGAGATTCAATCCAAATAATGCAACAGTCATCTAACAGGAGTTCCAGAAGGAGATGAAGAAAAAGAAGGGAGTAAGTACTGGTTTTAAATGTTAGAAGACAATATATAGAACTAAAGAATGACTGAGCACTCATACTGAAAGAACTCACATAGCAGGGACTAGGATGGAGGTTGTAAAAAGGTAAAATTGGTAAAAATGCAAGGTTCCAACTATAAACATAAGGTTCAAAAGGCTTCCACATTGGCATATAAAGGAATGAGGTCAGTAGAGATACTGTGCTTCCCCACAGCCAACAGTGCACAAGAGAAGACAATGGACAAGTATCTCCAAAATTCTGGAGGAAAATTATTCCAAGCATGGGATTCAATGTGCAAAAAAATTAAGAAAAGACTAACATAATCTACCTCTCTTTTAAATTACTGAATTTATATCTTCACTAGGTAAGTACACTGGATCAGATTCATATGTTTAAGATTAATGCAAAGTTACCTCATGAAACTCATGATGTTAAATCTTCATTAAGAAAGGGAAATGGAAACTTTAGAGTGATGGTTCTATTATTCTATGTAAATGATGACAAAGAAAGAAATAAAGAGTAGGAGATGATGGAGGATGGGGGAGACAGAGAAACACACACACACACACACACAGAAGGAAGGAGGAAGTGAAGAAGGACAGAGGCAAACAAAGAGACAGACCAGGACAGACAGGTACTTTGGGCAAGAGAAGGAGGGAGAGAGGAATTGGTATTTATGCTGTCAAATTCAGATAGGAAACTTAAAAAGTTTAGGTATGTTTTTAAGAAACTTCCAAGTCCACTTGCAGAAACAGATGCTGAATTTTTTAGGAAGAAAATCTGTGAAGATGTTTATCAGGCCTGATACATGGTATATATACCATTTATTTACTAAATTTAAATTCAATTAACTAACATATAGCATATCATTAGTTTCAGATATAGAGTTAAATATTACATCAGTTGCATATAACACCCAGTGCTCATCACATCACAACCATCACCCAGTTGCCCCATCTCCCTGTCCACCTCCCCTCCACCAACCCTCAGTCTGTTCCCTATAGTTAAGAGGCTCTCATGTTTTTTTCCCCTCTGATGACTTCCCATTCAGTTTTCCCACCCTTCCCCTATGATCCTCTATGCTGTTTCTTATATTCCACATGTGAGCGAAACCATATAATTGTCTTTCTCTGATTGACTTCTTTCACTCAGCATACCATCCACGTCGATGTAAATGGTAAGTATTCCTCCTGTCTGATGGCTGAGTAATATTCCATTGTATATATATACCACTTCTTCTTTATCCATTCATCTGTCAATGGACATCTTGGCTCTTTCCACAGTTTGGCTATTGTGGACAATGCTGTTATAAACATTG